AACTTGCAGTCACTACAGATGAGTGATTGTCAGTTTCTGTAAGATTTTTGCAACTGGAACAGGTATTTCTGTTTACTGGTTAACTTCCTCAGCTGTCTCACATTTTAAAGGTCAACCCTACTCCATGTTTCAGCTCCTTTCATAGATCAATCTCATAGAAGAACTTCTAAAGAGCAAATTTTGTTTTTAGCGTTTGTTTTGGGCCATTATCTGTTACAGGACTCATGATCTTTAATTGAGACCAGACTTTTTTAACAAATGGGTGCAGGTTTCGCTTCAGATGCTTCATATTTCATTGTACCCAGACCACACTCAAGCCAACCTGTGTCAGGTGCAGCCTACAACCAAGAACAAAAGAGAATCTTCTTGTGTTTGACAGTAGAGTTAACGCTGGTTCTTAGAAACCTTCAGTTTTAAAAAAGAGTTGACGTAACTTAACTAAAGAGCAGCAGATACAGCTAGCCAATCAGTGTTTGCCCCCCACAAACGCCTATTAGCCAGAAACGCCCACTTTTGGCCTGCAGAGAACCCCTTCTCCTTTAAACACCTCAGGACCAAAGTGCTGTACACACAACAAAACAATCATACAGTCGGATAATAAAAATGATTAAATATCAACATCTCAGATGGTATCAAACATAGACATTAATACGTAGACGCCCCGTTGACTGGGTTGGCCCGCTGATGTGACGTAACTGTGTGTCCGCCATATTGGAGGAGTCAAAGCTGCACTGGGAACTAATACAAACAGGATTAAAGCACAGTTTAATGGTGACTTTTACGTTAATACCCCCAGCTTATTTAATTCACACAGACATACGTACACTCACTAAAGTTAATGGGAAACTGGTACCACCAAAAACAGTTTATTAAAGCTTCTTAGTTTAGTACAATAACTTTATTGATCCCACACATCAGTAATTCATGTTTCATCAGCTGTAAAGTAGTGGAAAAAAAAAACTGTGTATGTTACACTTTAATAATATATGAATAACAATAAATGTGTATTAACCCCCCTCCACACAGAAGAAATAAACGTATCTTATTTTCATTTATTATTTTGGCCATTTGGAGGCAACAAAATCAATTTAAACACCACACATACACATGTTATGTACACATACTATTATTATTAGATATAATACCATGAGCAAACTAAAGTAAATACCAGGTTGAATAAATTAAAATTAAACAAATAAATTAATTCTGCGTGGGAATCCATTTTCCATAACGTTGACAAGTACACTCTGAAGACACCGTTATAATGGTGAAAATTATGCAGACTATGGCTGAAAAACGATAAGGAGACTTGTTGAAGCAGCACATGTACAAGGCATTTTACCTTCTCCGTTTTCTTCCTGACTCCACCAAGATAGCGCCGAGGTAGGAAAGCCGTTTAACGTCCAACGGGGCATCTATGTATGGTGACAAAGGCCAGGGAGAAGAGATGGGTTTTAAGAAGGGATTTTTCATTCATTCAACCTTTATTTAAACACATAAATCCCATTGAGCCTCGAGGACTCATTTACAAAAGAGACCTGATTTCAACAAAGAATGATGACAACAATGGACAACAGCGACAACAATAGACAGTTATAAAAAAGGCATAAAGATATATATATATATATATATATATATATATATATATATATAT